CAAATCACTGACCGCCTGTGACCGCTGGGGCCCCCGCAAAGGAGACTCAAGAGGAGTAAGGTGGGGTCTCACTCTTCCAAAGCTGCCAGCCCCTGAGAGAAACTGGGCTTTCCCAGAGTAACCAGGGAGCTGCGTCGGACAGTAAAAAGGTCACTTTTGTTTGTTTTAGAGAGCATGTGCAGGGGTTGGGGGGGAGAGGGGAAAGTTACAGGGAGGGGCAGAAGGAGGGAGAGAGTCTTAAGCAGGCTCCATGATCAGGGCAGAGCCCCACGTGGGGCTTGATCCCATAAGCCTGAGATCACAACCAGAGCTGAAATCAAGAGTCAGACGCTTAACTGACTGAGCAACCCAGGTCGCCCCCAAAATGGTCATTTTTGAATTGAAAATTTGGTAAAGTGCCTAGGAAGAAGTAGCACCTGGGCTGGGCCCTGACAGAAAGGAGACAAAGCCCTATCGGCGGGCAGGGGAGGGGGAGGGCCAGGCCCCTCTGTGCCCCATCACCAGGAGGGTCTCTGCTGGAACAGGAATGAAGAGCTCCTGCTTCATCCGCCCAGTGCCCCAGCCCAGTCCACCAGCCCCCCTCTCTCGGGCTGCGTCAGTAGGGTTGCTGGTGACTGACCATGCACCTGGGGAGGCCACACAATCTCCTTGTCCTTGGTCTAAAGACCAACCATTACACCCTTTCGGACCTCAGAGGGCTCTTTGCAGAAATGAAGATAATACTTTGCCCGGTGCGGTGACAGGGGCTCAAAGGACACGGGGCAGCGGGCAGGAGGCAGTGAGGGCCTCCGGGTGTGGGGCCCCGGAGAGCAGCATCGAGGGTCAGTCTCTGAGGCAGGGGGGAAGTAAGTTTTCTATTCTACAGGCAACCTCTCTAAACGCACACAGGGGCCTCAAAAGCAGATGCCAGCGGGCACAAGGGAGCCCGGGCGCCGGGAGGGGTGGAGGTTCGGCCTTCCTGCTGGTTGGGACACGCTTGCGGCCGGTTCCTCAGCGTCAAAGGGCCTTCCCTAACCCGGGTCTGCCTCAAGGCCCCTGTGGCCGCGCCCTCTGTCGGGCCCTTTGCATTCTGTGTTCTAATAATGGTTTAGAAGACTATTAGGCTACTTAAGAGCAGGGGCGTGTTTTATATGTCTGTTTTCTACCCATGGGCTGAGCACACGGTAATCTCCAACCACCCGTGCCATGACCCGATGAGCATTCTTCCAAACCACTAGCCCATCCCAAGTGCAGTGGTCGGGTCCCTCTGCTCTTGGTCGGAAGAACCCAAGGTTTCCCAGTCTACACGGGGTCTCACTGGAGGTCTCCCCGGCCCTCTGCGTGTACAATGACCTTCGCAGCCCAGGCAGCAGCCACCTCCACGGTCATCTCTGTCAGTATGAGACAGGTCAGGGACTCACTGCTTGGTCCCCGAAGACACCTTTTCTGCCCACGGGTTAAGCAAAGTCCGTCTTTCAGTGACAATGAAATAAAGGGGAAAAGACAGCAGGAACAAAACCACACCCCACAAGTAAACACAGCCGAAAGCCTGAAGGCCAGCCAGCCAGCACACCGCAAGGGCCTTCCGCCATCGGGGGAGGCGGAGGGAGCAGATGACCTGATCGCCCGCTTCCAAGGCCTTCCTCCCAGGCCACCAGCTCCCACTCCACACCCGCCCAACTGTTTCTTCCCTGCCCTCTGCCGTCCCCCACCCCCGGTCAGATTTTCAAAGTGTCCCCCCAGTTAGGCTCCTCTCCCTGGATCCCTGAGGTTCGAAGCCCTCGCTGGTCGGTGGCCGTGGGAGGGTCCCGGCCACTCCCCTGGGCCTTAGTTTCCTGTTTGTCCCTCAGGAATAAAGGTGACAGCAGCTCCTGAGAGTCTACGGGAGATGAAATGAGATAAAATCCAAAACTCTCTGGGACACGGCTGTGTGTCTGTGTTTTTTTGCCTCCCTGCCACGGTCCCCCTCATCGAGGCACAGAAACCAACTCAGGCTGCCTCACCTGCCCTCACAGAAGCCTGCTGCCCCCTGCAGACAAAGGAAACTCCCTCCCTCGGGGTGCAAAGGAAAGGGGGAAGAATCTAGAGGAACAGCCTTGGACAGTCGCTTGCCAGTTGGAGTCAGTCGGGGGCAGGCAGTGCCCAGAGGGTGTAGCCTTTAGAGCAGAACCAAGGGATCTGGGTCTTTCCATAACCAACCACATGACCTTTGGGCAAGTCCCTTTCCTCCTCTGTCCCTCAGTTTCCTCACCTGTGAAACAGTCAACCTCTCTGTCCTACCTACTTCGTGGGGTCTCTGAGAAGAAGGTGCTGTAGAGAAGGGAGCCACAGGGAGTGACGGTGGGGTCCGGAAGGCCTGGGAGCTGCGTGGAACATAGACAGGGTCAGAGGCTGCCTCTGCCAGGGGTGTTCTTCTTACCTGCTTCGGACTCAGTTTTGGGATGCTTGCGCCAGGCCCCACACAGAACTCCCCTTAGGGGAACTCTTTCCTCCAGTCAAAGCCAGTTTCTGTTTTTTGTTTTGAAAAAGATTTATTTTGAGAGTGAGAGCGCGTGCATGAGAGAGCGCGCACATGTGTGCACGTGCACGTGGAAGGGATGAGGAGGCACAAAGGGAGAAGCCGACTCCCTGCTGAGTGTGGAGCCAGATGACTTTGGGGTTGGATCCCAGTATCCTGAGATCATGACCCGAGCCTAACTCAGATGCTTAACTGACTGAGCCCCCCAGGCGCCCCAAAGCTGCTTGCTGTTTTGAAGGAAAAATCTTTTGCTCCTGCTCCCAAGTCTCTTAACGGAGAAATTGGCCATTCAAGTTTCTTTCTCTTTCCCCTTTCAACCATGCAACTCACATGCCTCAGGAAGCCCTCCCAGATTAGGCTCAAAACACTCTTCCTTCCAGCACATCCCCCAGTATTTGAGTTCACGCTTGGAGGGCAAAACCCACAACTTCCATCCTTCTATGGCCTGCACCTGGCACACAGCGGGCACTCAGGAAGTAACGACCAGTTAAATATGTACATAATGGACTCGATCACAATTGTTAAAGTTTCTGTTGTTCAATATTTAAAGAGCTAAGAACATTGCGTTACACAGGAGACTCCTGACATTCCACAGGGACTAGCAGCCCCAGTAGGCAGGGGTCCTGTCTCTCCCTTTTGTAACAGGGGCACACACTGTACCCCGGGTTGTGACCAGGCTAGGTCCATTCAAAGCCCTTGGTTTAGTCCCAAATATCATCAGACAGCCGGGCAGGATGGCACACTGATTAAGAGCAAGGACTTTGGGGGTGCCTGGGTGGCTCAGTGGGTTAAGCCTCTGCCTTCGGCTCAGGTCATGATCTCAGGGTCCTGGGATCGAGCCCCGCATCTGGCTCTCTGCTCAGTGGGAAGCCTGCTTCCTCCTCTCTCTCTCTGCCTGCCTCTCTGCCCGCTTGTGATCTCTGTCTGTCGAATAAATAAATAAAATATTAAAAAAAAAAAAAGAGCAATACTTTGGCTTTCGAATCTTGACGCAACCACTTACTTGCTGTGTGACCTTTGGCAAGTAACTGTTGTGAACCAAAAAGGAAGGCAAATGCCCATCTCACCTAGTTGTTGTGAAACACAAAAGAGAAGATGAAAGTAAATTATTAGCACAGAGCCTAGCACATAGGAAGTGCTAATAAGTCAAGGCTTTTAGTACTGCAAGGTGAGAGCTGCCCCCCTCCCCCAGCTGCACAGTATTGTCATTCTTGTCTTTTCTCCACCTCTTCTCAAACTCGCCTTTCTCTTTTGCTGAATGCAATATACAAAGAAAGCTCAGGCAAAAAAGAAGGAATTTCTTAGAGAGGGAGGGTAGAAATATGGGCAAAGAAAGTTAAGGCTTCCTTCTGGGAGCCAATCTAGCCAACAACCTGCATCACCCCTTCCAGGAAGAGGAGCGTCGCTGCTGGTCTTTCCTCCCAGACCACTTCAGCCTCCAGGGGTAACAGGGCTCAACCACATCTACTCGGCTGAATTAGAAAGGTGAACCCAAGCCACCCCTGTTGTATATTCTGCACCAGGAACTAAAGGCTGCTGGTGTTTCTTAATAAATCTCCGTGGGCGAGCCAGACTTAGCAAATGAAGCTACAAAATGCTCCATTGAATCTGAACTTCAGAAAAACAACAAAGACCATCTTAGTATCAGTATGCCCCATGCAACGTTTGAGGCATACTAATACTAAAAATTATTTATCGTTAATCCAAAATTCAAATTGAACAGGATGTCCTATGTTTCAGCTGGAAACTCTAACCAAGGTGCCCAGGGCACTACATTCTTCCCCTCCTTGTCCCACAACCACAATACTGGTCCATCAGTATTTTAACTAGCTACTCTGGAAACATCCCCTCGTTTCTACCCCCAGGCAGAGACAAGGTGAGAGCTTTCCTGCCCCTCCTCCGCCCCAGCTGCTGAGTCCAGTGGCTTGTTCTCAGAATATGTTTCCTCAATCCTTCCAGGCTGCTTGTCTAGTACTGGGCCCCAAGGCGAGGGGGTGAATGCCAGTCCCGTCTTGACTCGGGGGGGGGGGGGGTGTCTCCTAAGAACAGCATGGCTGGGGTAAGGGTGGAGAAGTCCCACCACCCAGGTCCTGAGTGTCCTGTTGCTTGAAAACCAACGGAGAAGGTGGCCTAGCGCAGGTTTTGTAAATCCCTGGGCAGCACATGGGTTATTATCTCGACCTCTGAGTGGCCCATTTTACCACAAAGCCCCCACTCTTCCCTACAGAGAGGGGCTTGACAGGGAGAAAGCAGCACAGGGCGGGGGAAAGCCAGCCCCTCTGGTCGCTGGAAGAATGACAAACCACCGTCCCTCGGGCTGTGATTAGCCGAACACGTTCCCAGTCATCCTCCTCAGAGGCCTCGCCAGCCCCTCGGCTTAAGGGAGGGTTCGGGGCCGTTTTCCAGAGCGGTCAGGAAGTCCTGACCCAGGCCCTGCCTCCGAGGTGGGGCCTGGTCCAGGGGGCTGCCCGTGGGGTCCCCAGGTGTGGGGGGCGGCGCCTACCTTCTGGGCCTGTTGGATCATCTGCCTGACCACCTGCTTGAGGTGGGGCGCCTTCTCCTCCTTGGGGGGGTGGGTGTAGAGGGTGATGCGGCTCACGCCGCGGTAGACGCCCTGGTCGGTCCAGCCCAGGTCCAGCGGGGGCACCTCCGTGTCGGAGCGGTCGGGCCAGTAGGCCAGGGACTCGCAGGGCTCGGTCCGGGCGTGCGCCTGCGCCGGGGCTTTGGCCTTGGCCTTGCTCTTGCCCCGGCCAGCGGCGGCGGCGGCGGCATCCTCGTAGGGGCTCCAGGCGGCGCGGAGGGCCTGTTGCTCCCGGCTGGAGAGGAAGTCCCGCAGCTGCTCCTTCTGGACCAGCTCGCGGTAGGCCCGCTCGCCGCCGGCCAGCAGCGCCTCTAGAGCGGCCCGCCTCCGCTCGCAGTAGTAGAAGGCGGCCTGCGCCTCGGTCACCCTCTCGTTCACGTGCGCCTCGTCCAGGCAGCTCAGCTGGGACTCGGCCATGGCGCCGCGGCCGCCCGTCCCCGGCCCCGGCCCGGGCCCGGGTCGTCCCGCCTCACCTGGAGCCTAGGGGCGGGGCGCCTCACCTGGCCGCGAGGTCGGCCAATCCGCGCGGGCCGGGGCGCGGGCGCGGCCGTCGGGCGGGGACGGAGGACCGCGCCCTCTGCCTCCGGGGGGTCGGGGGCGGGGCGCGAACGGTGCCGGCGGCCTGGGGGGACAGTTCCCGGGGGGCGGGGGAGGGCGGACCCGGCGGGGACCAGGCCTGTGGGGCCCGGCACGGCCCGGGAGCTCCAGGGTGGGCAGGAAATTGCAGAGGTGGTGGTGGTGGTGGGGGTGTCTCCTAGTTAGACGCACGTGAGGCCTCTGGCCGGCTTCTGCCTCTCGGTCCTGACCCTTCGGTGGCGATGATCTAACCCTTCCTGCGGCCTGACAGGGCCGGACACCGAGCAGGCGCGCGTTCATCTTCCTCGCAGTTATGGCCACGAGCACCTGCTTGGTCGGGGTGCCTCGGGGTGGTGGATCTGACCACTCCAGGAGTTGAGGGTACCGGGGTGGGGGTGGGGCCCTGCTGCCAGATGGGATTGTGACGGCTTGGGCGGGGTGTGTGTGTATAGGGGAGGGAGGTTGTGTGCACAAGCGAAATGCCAATGAAACCCTCAGCTCCCGGCCCACATGTCCCAGTTCCGAGATCAGAGGGACCCAGAAGCTGTCAATACAGCTCCTTCACCACGATAACAGTTTCTTAAAAACAAACAACAACAACAATGAAACAAATATAGCAAGGACTTAAACTGCAGTGGTAGAATTTCACCCCCATTTTAATTTGAACTGACGTGTGTGTGTGTGTGTGTGTGTGTGTGTGTTTGGGCAAGCTAGGCTGCCAGAGGCCTGATTACTATATTAGTGATTCAAAGTACATGTTTGAGCTCAAGGAAAGAAGCTGCACACACACACACACACACACACACACATCACCAGCGGCGGCTGCTCTGCTGTTTCCCATTGGATTAAATACAATCTTCTTAGTCATTAACATATTATTTTGTTCATGCACTGCTGTACAACTTGATTCTCCACATTCAAAATATTTTCAGATCATAGCAACCAAAGGTTCACATTTCTCCCATTTTATAGCACAGCCTCTCAGAGCTGGAAGGAGCACTAGAGACTGGTCCAACCCCCTCATTTCAGAGCTGAGGAAATTGAGGCCTTGAAACACGTGGTCTGGCTAGGCCTCCCACAAAAGGAGAGGTGGTGTGTGGGGCCTATTAAGTTCTCTGTGTCTCAGCGATCTTTGCCCTACATCTCAGCCGCCATTGCCCTTTCTCCTTGTGAAATGACAGAAGGTTCCTGGGGACCTGATTTTAAACCCCAGGGAATTTGAAGAGGTTGCCTACTATTTCTGGGCCTTCCTGTGACAGCATGGGGGGAAAAAAAGGGTTAGATTGTCAAAAAGCTGTGACTACTGTGACACAGTAGTCCATTGAGGCACCCAGCGTCAGCCCAAGATCAGCGGTGGTGGGCAGCGAGAAACCCATGCCCGTGCCACCCTTAGGAGCCGCAAGGCCTCACTTCTGGCAGCATTTTACGCTTAATTTCATCTTTAGACAAATTTTGTCTCTAGAATGGAAACCATTCCTAAAGCTTTCCAGGCCCTAAGAGATGCCAGACGGTGGGTGCCCTGGGGACACAGAGGGGTGCAGGGAGGTGGGGATAACACAGGTGTGACAAAGTGCTCTGATTAACTCAAGCAGCGGTGCTTCAGAGCAAACATATACTCAACGCCCACTATGTGCTGGGCACGCAGAGTGCGCGCAGAACATGGTTCTTTAAAATGGAATCAATTGGGGCCAAGAGAAAGGTATGAGCAGGGAGCTGTGGAGACTTTAAGGGAAGAAAGAATTAATCTTGCCCAATGGAACGTGGATAAGAAAGGCTTCACCCAGCAGGAGGGGATTTTGAGTGGAGCCTAAAGGGTGAGAAGATTCCAAGGGGAGAGAGGGAGTGAGACACTCCCGGCAGAGGGAGAGGGTCAGAGCCTCATGCGGGCATCAGGCACATGAGGCTGCAGGTCAAAAGCCCTAACCCTCAGAGCCTTAGTGTCCTCATCTGCAAAATGGGATAACAATGCCGATATCCTAATACCTCCCAGATTGTTGTAAGGATTAATGAGATCTGGTGTTTGGTTTAATTAGCTTTTGTGTCTGGCTGGTAGAAAGTGGTTTACAACATTGCCTCCAACACTTTCCTGTGCATGGAAATCACCTGGAGGATCTTGTGAAAATGCTGGTTCTGATTTAGGGGGTCTGAGGTGCAGCCCCAGATGTTGCCTTTCTAACAAGCTCGTAGGTTATGTTGGTAGCGCTGGCCCCTGGACCACACTTTGCCAGCAAGTGGCAGATTTTTCAGAGGCCAGTTGAAGAAGACCGTGAACTTCCGTGTCAGGGAGTCCTGGAATGAATCTCACTTCCTTGGGATAAGCTGTGGGTCCCTGAGAAAGTTACTTCCCTTTTCTGAGCCTTGGTCATGTCTTCGGCGAAATGCAGGCTATAAAAAGTCTTACCTTAGGGGCACCTGGGTGGCTCAGTGGGTTGGGGCCTCTGCCTTCAGCTTGGGTCATGGTCCCGGGGTCCTGGGATCGAGCCCCGCGTTGGGCTCTCTGATCAGCGGGGAGCCTGCTTCCCCCCACCTCTCTGCCTGCCTCTGCCTGCTTGTGATCTCTGTCTGTGGGATAAATAAATAAAATCTTTGGAAAAAAATAAAGTCCTACCTTGCAGGGCTTCGTGAAATTTCTGGCCTCACAGAGAAGCCGGTAAAGTATGGGAAGATGGGACTGGAGAGAGAGGGACGTTGGGACCAAATTATGGGGACCTTGATTTTAGATCTTATCCTGTAGCCAGAGGGGAGGCGCTGAAGGTTATTAAGAGACCGGTCTGATCATAAATAGCAGTGAACACTGTGTGCCAGACGCTGTGCTGGGTATTTTGGGGATCCTACCAATGAATTAATATAATCCTATTTTAAACATTATTATCATCCCCATTTTGTAGGTAAGGAAACTGAAGCACAGGGAGGTTCAGTAGCATACTCTAAGTCACCCAGCTAGTGAAAACGAGAGTCAGGATTTAAACCCGGGTCATCTGAGCCCAGAGCTTGCCTACCCATCTGCCTTGCTCTACTGCATTGGGTGAGAATATTAGGAAAGGGCATTAGTGAGAGACCATGCTCCCCTAGCTTACTAATTTAATCATTCAACAAACATTTGCCGAATGCCTAGCATGGTGTTCTGGGTTAGAAACCGTTCATTGATTTAGAGATCCTTACTGAGCCTTAACATAGGTGCGGTGATGCAGCTCTTAGTGTAGGTGCGGTGATGCAGCTCTGAACCAAACCAAGTCCTTGCTCACGTGGAGTTCCCACTGAAGTGCAGTGATTAAGACACGGTTTTCGCTCTCAAGAAGCCCAAATGTTATGCGACATAAGTTGGAATTGGACAGAAGGTTAGAATCAGAGTGGAATATTTTAGTAACAGTTGACATTGGAAAAGATCTGTCCTAGATGTAACCCTTAGGTTATTCTCCCTTAGGTACCAAGGACTGACTTACCCAGCTCTTGGTTTTGAGCAGTTACTGTGTGCTAGATAACATGCTTGCCACTGGGAGTAAGAAAAGAGGAATCAGACACCATAGCCAGCTGCCGTGGCGGCTGCCTGAGTGTAGCTGGGAGTCGGATGCCCCCAACTGTCTCTGCAAAGCAGGGGATAAGTGACGGCATTGGCACTGGCGTTCTCAGGGAGGCTGCAGGCTATGGAGTCGTTTTAACCTATAATTATCCAATTTGATCTGCCCCTAATCTGGTGAAGTAGACTCGGAAAGGGATTACAGGGAGGGGTTAAAGATTCATAAACTGAGACTCCGGGAGAGGACCCGTTCCAGGTTATCCGCTGGGAAGTGGAAACACTGGGGGGCACCAGTCCACTCAGCCTGACCCCCCGGCCTTCCACACCCCCTTCAACAGCTGAACGCTGTGTATTATCATTGGGGTTTTTAAAAAGCCTTACCTGCCAGGGAATTGAATCCTTTCAGGCACAGGCTCTATCTATTTTGCATCTGGGGACATTATTCCACGAGGCGGTGACAACCTGGGAGAAAGCCCCTGGCCCCACACCAGTCCCTCCAGTCCTGGGGCTGGAGTTTCCCTAAGCTAGGTGGAGCCTGTCATGCTTGCCTTTGCCACTTTGGAGGACACTTGGCCCAAGGTCACTGCGTCTTCCTGAGAAATCGTGCCTCTGCCTCTGGCAGAACCCGCCCCCCCACAACTCACCCAGGTCCTTGGCTCCCATTCACCTTCCTCTCCCCAGGGCACGCTGCCTGCTGAGTGTGCAGTAAAGGTATGACACCTTGTCGTTAGTGCTAATTGTAACTGTGTTCGTCTCTGCGCTCGTCTATTTTCCCAGGCCCTCCTGTGTAATTTGAGTCCCAAAATAGCCCACCTCCTGATAGATCAGCTATGCGTCCCAGGGCTGACTTTTTCTCCTCTGTGGAAATTCGTGTCATGAGCACCTGTTGTAAAACGTGGCGGACTCTTCATGCCTGCTGCCTATCCCCAGAGAGGAGGAGAGAATGAGAGGAGGTGGCTGAAGCTGGCACCGTGGGGAGGAGGGTGTAGATTCTAGGACGGAGCTAGATGAACAAAAGCTTTCTCCTCTGACCGGCTCTGCTGGCCCCGAGGGAGGAACACACCCAGGTCTCCCCCTACCCTGCCAGCCGGGACTTACCAAAGCTTCATCTTTTTATTCATGAATGGTTTTGGGACGTGGATTACGTACTAGGCAAGCTCCCGGCCTCCAAGACCTTCCAGACTCGGAGACTTTGTTGTAGCTGCAACCTTGGAAGCATATAGGTTTTCCTCCGCCACCCCCAACCACTCTGCCACGGCTTCCCTCTCAGCTCCAGAACATTCTCCTCCACTCATTCCAGTTCATCAGGCTTCCCAATAGTCCTCTCTGCCCAGTTGTCCCCCAGGGA